TTAATTAACTTTTTGCATTATAAAGCAACACTTGTTTTCGAGTAAACCGAATACTTTGACCTAAATGATGTCAATTTGACTTTTTGACTTTTTTGCGCCAACAAGCTAGTTTAAAATATACCTACATTTACATTTTTACAGTGTGAAAAGAAAACAAAAATCTAATGCAAAATATCGTGAAATTGGAGCAAATTTACTAAATATAAAGTTGAGTTCACACAACACCATTAATTTTCAAGCGAGACCTATTCTTTAATGGTCACGAACTAAAAGCATCTCGTAAAGATCCTAGACAACACAAAATGTTTAAGAATCTCATATCCAAAAAAATGATATAATACCAAATTGATATTATACATAGAAATGCCCAAAGGCTCTGCTCGCTCCTTATTACTGTACGACAAGTAAGGGCTAGACCAAAAAAGCCTGCGGAACTAGAGATATCTAATATATAGGGCACACCTGTATATATTGAGATTGTGATAAAAACGGTAATTGTTTACAAAAATTTTGTTTATTAAAGTAGGTTTGTGATTTATTAAAATAAGACCTTAACGATATACAAGGACAACGATATTAAGCGTCTTAAGGAAGGTTCTAAACTAGCATTATCAGTGATACCAACGTAACATGTTGTAGAATGGGAAAATTAACCAAAAATGTTCATCGCGTTTTAAACGGGTTCTAAACAAACTCTATTGCAAACTCTATTTGCCTGCAATAAGGCTTTTTTTAACAAAACAGCAGTACTCTATAGTTTATCAATGGTATATATTCTTTTACGTAAACATGCTATGTAAAAGTAATTTTAATTCGTTGAAGACACACATTCTTCAGGTGACGATTGGGACAACTTAGTAGAGAACAACTACAGCAACATTCCGCAGAGAAATCCAAACTAAGCGACAGAAATTGGAAATTCTTTTCAAATTTAGAATATATTACTTAGTAGAGGAAGGATAGACATTTTTCTTACCTGTTCGACTACCAATTTCACCAGCTGAAACAAAGTCGCCAAAAACAGAACAATCAAACCGAGGAGCACCAAATCAGATGCTGCATCCAATAAGGCGAATTTCATTGTTAAAGGTAACGCAAAAAGCGGATCAATTTATTTTTAATGCAATCAACAGATTATTTGAAATACACGCGAAAAGTTCGTTTTCTTTAATTTCTAAGACGAAAAATGTGTTTGATTCTGGAGAATTTGGAAGCGCTTTTATACACATTTTTGTAATTAGTTTTTTTACAAACTTTGACATTCAAATGTTGTTCATTTACTTTTATTTTTATTTTTATTATTATTTTTTGAATGTTTGTTTTAATTATTTCTTCTTATACGTTTGCGTATCTTTCCTATCATTTAACCCTCGACTTGCTCGAACATTTTTTACGAGGTATTCATTAACCCAACGGCATGTAAAAGAATTCTCAAATGGAAATTTAATCCAGCTCAATTCCACTATATACAGTTTATTTATTATACGCCGGCAGCGCTTATCTGTTTCATTGTTGTTTGTTGTTACACCGTGGCGTTTATTATTGCAGTATAATTATAGAAACAACACAAGCGTATATATGTATGTATGTACACACGACCTCATACCTGCACACATAGGTACAATTTCGAAGAGCTCACACTGTAACCCAACTGCATCCGTGCTTTGACTCTTACAAATTATTTCCACACATGCACATGCATATTTCTTGTTAACTTTAATAGCGCAATCAGACTTAAATAAGCACTTACTTAGCGCTACTTCAAGCACCTAATCCTATTTGCCTGTCTGCCCTGCTGACTTAGCCACCTCCGTTATTACCCCATAAGCAGTTCTCTTCCAAACCAACTTCCTTTCTTGCAGCAAACCACGGAAATCGATTAGGTACAAGCTTTCAAGAGACTACTTAATGGGTCCCTTTGCTGTTGTTGTTGTTATTGTAGACTTTCTGCATTAAATATATTCATGTGCACATGGTAGCATTAAAAATCTTAACTACCGCTTACACCGACCTCATCATAATTGTTGCAATACACACCTCCCTCATTTGTACAATAAACATATTTCCTGTTTTATGAGTGCCCTCTATTTAATTATGAACGTCAGTTCCGAAAAGCTACATTGAAAAGTACGTCGATATGTTATTACTTTGGTATAAATATTTCTATATGTTAGTCCGCACATTGTTGTTGCCACCGTGTTATTTATTCAGCTTGCCGGCTGAGTGGCCCTGCGAGGAAATATATGAAGTACGTGGTTTTTGTGGAGTTTTGAAAACAATAGTAATACTTGTATGTGTTTAAGGCCGTTATAAGCGCTATAAGCTGTCCAAGTGAGATCTTTGTTAAGATCGGCAATTTGGCCTAATCTATGATGTATTCATATTCCTTTAACAGCAATTTAGAAATCCACAGCCTGTTTACTCTTATTAAAGTAATATGACATTTACTTGTGTAGACGTGTTACATAACTGTATTATCGAAATGAGGTCGTTAGCACTTCCCTGAAAATATATGACTATTTCTCAGTATCTCAATATCAGTTGGAGTATTTATATAGAGCTTATCCGGTAAGAGAATACTCAATTCTGATGTGGGATTAATATTCAATTTCGAAATTTGCATACCATGGACATACAACAGAACCAGTAGAAGGAACTCCCAACAATGAATTATTCGGTTTTAAGGTTACACTGTCCAATAGAAAGAGCTAAAATTTTAATCGACATTGGTGACAACCGACTCTATAAATAATAATTAAATGCTATTGGTTATTTTTTCGATCTTTGAAATTTTAAGATTCCGGAAAAAGATTTGGATAGAAAACTCATCTTTATGAACTAAACTAGTTCATTTTCTAAATAATGGATTAACCCGCAATTCTCTAGAGCAATATCTAAGCTAATGGTTTGTGTATTCTCGAAAATTAAATAATTAAAAATTGAAATACCATGAACATAGAATGCTCTCCCTTGTAAAAATGACATGAAATGGGTACCAAGATCGTGCCACCTCAAACGATGACTTTGACAACTCCATCAATAAATGGAGATATATTGGGGAAAGACTTTCAAATTCAAACTATGAGCTTTCTCGTATAATAGATGAAATGAACTACAAAATTATAGGAGCCATTCTATTGAACAATATATGAAGCCATTCATATTTACCAAGCCGTTTGAATCTATGAACACTCTATAATCACACTAAAATAAAATTATTGTACAATGTGCCTTATTTTCAGTTCAAGTTATTTGTAAACTTGCTTTAAGTTACAACGGAAATGCCTTCTAATCATTTTTCCAGCGGAAGATAACCCACACATGGGCACAACCAAACATACAGGTTTTCAATTTAAATAATACATGATAAAAAGTGAGATAAATGGGGAGTATATAATATTTACACTCATACATATGTGTGTATGTACGTACGTATGTATGAGGTATGAGCTAACAAATAAAATGCTCAAAGAAGCCCGTTAAGTAATAAATCGACAAAGGTAGTTCTTCTGCTTTTTTCGGAATATTCTGTGAATCTTCATGCTTCTTAGGTGCCTCATTTAATAAAGGCTAATTAAAAAGGGAACAAAGGAAACGGAATGTGATAAAAGAAAATTATTTAGCCTTCGGTGTGCCATGTAACGCTTGAAATGTTAATTGTTTTGTACATCGATTTTCTTAAATCTGTTCTAAGAGTGTAGACACTTAACAAAGGCCGCCTTAAGCGCATTTTCCTACTGGAAATATTATAAGAAAGGTGTATGCTTACATAACAAAAGAAAAAGAAAAGGTCACTGCACTAAAGATCATTGAACTATACATCACATGGTTTATCTGTATGCAATTGAGTTAGGCCATTTTGAATTAAAGACTTTAATCCACTAAATGCTGTTTTCATTGTTATGGACTTTGACTGTTTAAACCTATTTTCCTGTGACAAGTTCTGGTGAAGCGCTCATTGAACTCTTGAAATTCAATATCGAATCGAGCCGAAGAAGATGGTAACAGATGATACTACTAAGAATATACTTTAATTATAAGCTATTTAATAATATTATATATATTATATAACAACATTTGGATAAGAACTTTGCAGAACAAGCAACACATTAGACTAGGTCCAAGTTTACAAAAAGATTGATGCAGTGGTATTATTTGGAGACTAGCATTGGAAACTCCTAGTACAGCGAATATTAATATCTACCATTTCATTAGCCGACCCGGAACAAAATCAGATTTATCAATATGTTGTTGGCAGAACCGCCGAAAGAAATCTGGAACTTCTCAAAATTGTGTTACTTCAAAGCAATTTTATGTCCTCTCGACGACGAACTAAGAGTACGCGTACATTACAGGTTAGTACTTGGTATAGTTACACAATATTCCAACATTACTGGGTTCACCGCCATCCTGAAGTGTTTAATGTTATTTTCTCCATACATTTATTTTACATGCAAAAAGGTCATGTAAATCGTATGTACTGGTAATTCTAATCTTGTGGACTATATAAGAAAAAACAGGTCTATTAAGTTTTGACTAGAATTCTTGATAAAATTCTTGATGTTTTGCCTGTCAGCACTCCGAAGTATTCTTAAAACTACAATTGGTTTCTTCATTATAATAGAGCATTGGTTTCTATACTATTTGACCTTGAATACAAAACCCAAATTCATCTGACATGAATTCTTGAAAGTTTTGAAAATTAAAGTCTGAAACTAAAAAACTAGTTTTGATACGAAACAATATTAAATATAGTGTTCGCAAAAGAAAAGAACTAAAACCTGTTTCAGGACGAGATACAATTTCGAATAACCAATATGTATTACTTATAGCTGCGATTACGTTGAAGACAATAAAGTGAAAAACAATAAATATTTATGCCTAATTGCAACATTTTCAATTAATAAACCATCTTATTGATATTTTTTTAGAAGATAATCCATAAAATGTAGCCAACAAAATTGCAATATTACTTGTATTAATAATAACTGCATAAATACCTTTTCTGACTTTAAATATAGCTTTTATGATGTGGAAAGTTGTAAGAAAATCTGAAAATAAAAAAATAAAGTATATTTAGTTAATGTGATTAAATTAAAATTAAAATTTAAAAAATTAAATTTTATTTATGAGAATTTTTTCTATAAACGTCTTTTTCTAACTTATAAGGGAATATATACTACAAAATTAGGAGAAGGTGCAATTCTAACTTCAATTAACAGTAAAATAAACATGAAATGTTTTCCACATTCCAGCATCTTACATTATCTGACCAACAACAACCATTTATAGTGCTTTTAAACAATAAAAGAAACTCATTAAATTGATTATATTCAAGAAAGCAGTATTTCAGAGCAATAAATAATTTACATAGTGTATATGTATACCATAATATTATGTATGCATTGGAAACTTTTTACTAACTAACTAATTACAACAACTACAATATAACAATACTTTTACTACCAGCCTACGTTTTGGTTTTAGTGTCAATGTATGCGAGTATACAAAGTTAGAAACATAAACAAAATCAATAAGAAACAAGTAAGGAGGTTCTAAGTTCGGGTGTAACCGAACATTTTATACTTTCGCAACTTGCAAGGATCAAAGCCCGGGAAATTACTTCAGGTGCTGGCAGAATTTCATATTAAAGGAAGTATTGATCCGATTCAACCAATTTTTGACACAAAATATACTATTATCGAAGGATTGATTTATTTATTTTATTATACAAGTATGAATTTCAATTATATATCTTACACATTGACCGATTGACGGACGGACAGACAGTCACCCGGATTTCAACACGTCTCTTCATTATGATCATTTATATATATACAACCCTATATCTAACTCGATTAGTTTGAGGTGATACAAACAACCGTTAGGTGAACAAAACTATTATACTATGTAGCAACATGTTGCGAGAGTATAAAAAGATTACTAATGAAAATAGACATACAAGAACAACAATTAACAATAATCAAAAGCACAAAAAAAGGCAATAAACTTTATTAAAGAATTTGGCTTGTGTGCATCTTTTTCATTTTCTTAAGCAGCTGCGACGTTTGAAGAATTTCCAAAATAACGAAAAATTTAATATTTAATTATGAAGTAGCATAGGTTAAAGAATAGACAAGCTGTTTAAGATTCGAATACGAAACCTGCACTTGAGCTGCAGTCTGATTTATGTTGGGATTAACGAACTCAATCGAACTCTATCGAGTTCTAAACACCATGCAACACTGCATTTGCATATGTAAGTATGTATGTAAGACTTGGGTATAAGCTGCGCTTTACCACTCTCTACCAAGCGGACCTTCACATTTTGATTTAATTACACTTAACCTTAATCATACTCAGCTTTGAAAAATGTAGAATTTGGAATTTTAATTATATACATCGAATCAGACGACTAAAGGAGAATAACAATAAAAAAGTTAAATAGAATTAATAAACAAGATGGAGAAGTGTTTGGCGCTTCTTCTTGCGTGCAGTGTATGTATGTGGAATGAATTTTGTCCATTAACCCTTGGCTGCGAGCGAGTTTATAACGAAGCAACGCGGGTCAAAGCGGTTGGGAAACGAGATTAAGTTGGAGATATGTAAACAAGTTACAAAAAAACATACTTAGATTACAATAATTTGACAATGAGGCATAAAAGCAGACGTTGCCGGCAGTCTTGGTTTAACGTTATAAAAACAATCAGAGCAAAAATTAATGAATTTTATTTTAATTTATAAGTTTTCATAAACATATTACTTTAAAAAGCATTTTGTATAAAATCGTTTAACTGAGAAATTCTTCTTAGCCTGTTAAAATTAATGCGCATAATACCATAATTCATTTATACTAATTTAATAGGAGAAATAATTGCAAAAGGTGGCAACCCGTCAACAAATACTGTTGCTATTGTAAGCATTGTTAAACATGTTAACTCTGAGTACATACATAGTTTTACTTTTTTTATGAAGTATTAGAACTTAACGAGAAATCCAAAAAATATATTTGCATCGAGTCAGGCTCAATTTTACTGGCGTTCTATATACGGCAAGCGTGAATGAATTTTTTATATCACACAATTTCGTTGCATTTCGATCAAAAAATAAAAAACACTTTAAGAAACAAAAAATTTATAATATTCAAACTTTTTCCCTGACAAACCTTTAGATTCATCGCACTACTTACTCATAAGTTCTTCATAGCCTCAGATAAGTGGCACACACTTGCCAGAGATCGAGAGACCCATAAATTACTCATCTGCTTGACAATCAGTTTTCTTTGTAAATAATTGTATTATTTTCTTAATAAATTGCAGTGACTGCACCCACTCTCATTTATTTCATTACAGACACACACAATCATTGTGTATATTTCCAGCGAGGCAAAGAGTCGCTCGCAATCAGGCAATTGACGCAATGCGATGACGACTACCCGGCAATTAAAAGTTATTCAGACAATTCAAATGACATTTTCACAAAAAAACACTTGATTGCCAGGCTTGTGTGTTTCATGAAGCAAATTATGAAAAGAAATGTTTTGATTGTAATGACAAATTAATAATTTCACTATGAAGATATTTTTAGAAACCGTGACAACTTTTAATTAAAATATTTTTAGCTATGCTCCTTGACCTTATTTGTGCATTGTCACATGTTAGTGGCAGTTAGTATAAAAAGTTTTAGTTTATTATCCAAGATTGTGAAAACTGCAGAGAGCGATAACTAAATAAGAAGGAAAAGCTTATATCAAAATCTGAGCTCCAATCTATTAATTCCAACGAAAAACCAAAACTTGATTTGAGCATAACTTGGATGAATAAATAAAAATTCAAAAACACACATAAACTTTAAGTGATTAAAAACATATTATATAATAATACAACTAATACTCGATCTCGATTCACGACTTTTCTATTATGTAAGCTCTACACGCCCTCTCTCTTTAAATATTATATAACAACTCTCTATTCAACCAGTTTAAGGTTTCATCTCTATTTGATTCCGTTGTTTGTTTGATTCGTCACTCTCTGAATTTTGGTAAATCGTAATAAATATATCGCGTGCAATGGCAAATAGAAAATGCATAAACATGCATAATAATTATAGTTATGAATAATAATACATGCAGTATATTGTTGTACCACAAAATACAATGCGACGACTACATAATAAAGTAAACAATGTGAACAGAGTTTTGTTTTTGTTTTTCTTAATTTTGAATTAAAATTAACTCATTTACTACAGTTTATTTTTATGCCACACACTGGCTTTATTGGCTATGGCGGTCAAAGGTGACTGACAGTCATTGACAATGTACTACTAAAAGTGCCCAGACACATACAGATCTACATATGTACAAACCTGCATCCATATGTAAATGTTATTATTTATGTAGTATGTATGTAGTATATGTAGATTACTGATTAATGTATGTAAATATAAATGTATATACTTGTATAGAAATGTATGCATTTTTGATGCATATAATCCATGTATATGGTATATATACAAAGCATATTTGGTACATATGTATTTACCCGCAGTCCTTCATTTTCCGCCTCAAAAATACTGCCGCTCACCTGTTTCAACTCAACACACCATTGTGACAATTTTAAATTGTGTTTTATTTGTTTTAAATTCGTTGATTCATTTCAGCACATAGAGATTGATAAAAAATAAACGATTTTCTTAAAATAACCACACGCCACTCTAATTTTGAAATATTTGTATTTGCATGGCGTGTGGTATATGGAATTATGACTGAATTAAAAGTTGACTCAGACGCAGACGAGCACAAACATTTATCCACACATAAACATTTATACATATATAAGTAAATATATTTCTATGTACATATTATAGGACCGCTGTACACAATGAATACTCCAAAATAAAGCTCAAATGCATAGTCTCATACTTGGAAATAAGCGCTCGTGAATTCTACATATGTGTATGTTTTTATTTCTGTGAGATCACTTTTGTGCAATCACTTATCTAATTTGTAGGTAAGTAGAATTTTTCTTTATTTTCGCTCTGCTAGGAAAAAAACGCTAATTAAAAGTTCAAAACTGATACTACTATGATCGTTAGCAAATTATGACTGTCGTGAACTCGAGCTGTAATTGTCTTTTATTGGGCAAAACTTGGAGAGTGACGAATCGAGCTACGGCTGCCACAAATCAAGAATACTGACATTATCAAATAGAGATGGCAAGAAGTTATAGCACTTCAATGAAATAAACACATGCATTTCTGCCCCATTTATTACTATGTATATCATTGCTATTATTTTGACAAGAGAACAAGTTCAAATATCGGAGAGAAGTGTATATGGGATATAACTTTAGTATATGTATTAATATCCTATTTGCTTGTGTCCCATGTTTCTATAAAAAGTGATATAAAATTATAAAACATAACGTGCAATGATATTTTTTAGCTCACTATGTGAATCTAGTCAACACCTCGCTTGTAGAACAACTCGCTAGGGCTTTTCGCGGAGAAACGCCACGTCGAGACACCGTTTCTCAAATAATATAAGCTGGTCAATTCTCTTATGGTATTATAATATTTGATTAAGATTATAATAACGAGATGTTCTATATGTGGCATAGTCCGTAAGATTCTCGTCACGCTATTTGGTTGAATTAACATGCCACGAAGTTTGTAACACCTAAAAGAAAACATCGGAGACATTATAAAATAAATTTTGAACACGTTCTTTTCCACCCAAGAAGCTGCTCATTTGTTGGAAACACCACTATCCGACTACTATAGCACTACTGAGATTATTTGCGTAAAAAAATAATAGCATCAAAATATACAATACTTGTAATGTAAGTTTTAAAGAAAAATGCAAAAATTTCTCGAAAAGATATAAGAAGAAAAATGGTTCGAAATATAAAAATATTATATAATAGATACCGGTAAAAAGATAAGATAAAAATAGTTAATAATGTAGTTTACTACTAAGTGTAAATAAAGGTATAATCAATTGCATTAGTTGACTTTATTGCAGCAAGTTGTCACCCATAAAAGCAACAATGTA